CAAACTTTTCCGCGATCCCCCCTCAATTCACCTGCCCCCCCCCCCTCTGCCATAGGTTATGAACGCAGCCTAATATTCAAATTTTTCAAACTTTGTTTTTGATTCTCTAAACATTTATGATTTTAATAACATCATTAAGAAGTATCGCAGTATACTGACCTATTTTATTCTTACAATAATATGAATCTCATTCAAAACAATTAGAAATCATTCTGTGTAATTCCATATAAACGGAATGTGAGTATCCAAGGTAGTTAAAGACCCAGAACTTGAAGAACTTTTTATTTTGATGACGTCACAAAAAGTTGGTTGCATGCGTAAAGAAAAACAAAACTCGAAAGCTACGCGGTCAAATATCTTTAAATTTCTACAGCTTTTTTCTTCGTAGAATGATAAGGCAATTGACGCAATGTGAAAAATATTTGGACTACAGAAAACTTTTTATCTTGAAAAATCGATATTTCTTTAACATTTTGGTTTCTGTAGTCACGATTTTAATAAAACGCTGTCATATAATAGGTAACAAAACAAACGTTTGTACTACACCATCTAAAAAAGATTGACCACAGCAAACTCGAGATTTCAAATTTTTAATAAAAAAAAGGGCCAGTTTTGTGGCTGACGTGATCATTTTCACTTTTTCCTAAGGCATAATCTTTAACATAGTTAGCGTTAGCAGATATCAAGATGTAGRTCTGTATTTGCTATAAAATAATTTCAAGTTCTATTGCTCTAAATACCGAAACTATATGAAGCAACCTTAAGTGATGTCCATCTAAAAAGTGGGGGTGGGGATGTAAGACACGATTTCAAGATTTTATTATAGAATTTTAGCAAAAAAAAGGAGCCGTGAATCGAATTTTATGTTCGTGTCTTGAAGTATTCCGTGCTTTTTAGTTTTCTTAATTGATATGTTTTCGAGGTAAATCTTTCGACGATCAATATCGAACTGCTCACTGATTAAAATCTGTTAGTCAAACTTTTGTGTGCTGAAGGTGATTTATATGTTTCAAAATTCGGCTTAATCGAATATTGTGTACATATGTTTGTAGGTGAGAAATTATTAAAGTTAACCTGCTATTTAAGATGTTTTCCTTTTAAAAAAAACATGAATAGTTAGCGAACCATGTCAACATGATATCAAAGGCTTTAGGATAGTCTAGAAGCATGAGTCCATTAACCCGAGTATTGTCAAGGTTAATTAAAGAGTTCATCTACTTTCTGGACTAGGGCTGTTTCTGTGCTGTGTTGTTTCCTGAAACCAGACTGCCGCTGATAGATAAGACTGTTCTCTGATAGAAAGAACAGGCAGGACTGATATTGGGCTACAAGATAAAAGAATTCTTGAATATTTTTGTATTTATTTTCCATAGCGAGTACTCTTTTTTCGAAGGCAGCCTAGACTTGGTATAACTCAGTTTTCACACAGTTCTCTTATTTCACTAGTAAAGTTCCTATGTTTGCTTTAAAGACATCATCTTTCTCACTCAGGTCTGGAAATTTTCTGAATGCATTCTAGCCATTCTGTTAACTTGAAATATCGAAGTTATAGGCTTGTATAGAATACTAAATATAGAATGATGCAAAGTTTTTGCGAATTATGCCCTCGTATTTGTCGATTTAAAAGGTCTGTAGGAAAAGATGCAAAATTCGGTCTCCGTATCGCGTTGCTACTTTTTTTTGAAACTGTTTTCAAAAATAATTATAAAGCTGGTGGAAAAAATGAGCAAAGCTGAATCAATTTAGCTATAGATAATAATTTGTAAAATTTGTTTTTGATAGTTTCAGTTGTTGTCAGCAGATTAATATTTTGTGGTGCTCAAAAAACGGAAAAAACCACAAGTGGAATGACGTCGCAAAGTTGTCTTCTTTGTCAACAACTTCAGTTTTAAAATCTCTCGACGTCAATGGTTAGTGAAGAGGAAAATTAAACAATAGAACGCGTCCCCCGAAATATTAAATGCCTTCATAACTCTTATCGATATTGAACGAGATTTTATAGTTTTCCGTTTCCTATCAAAAAGGAAAATATTTGAGTGCCTTGAGAGCAGAAATCTTGATAATAAATTTTTTCCGCATTTAAGTCGAGTATTGATATCAGTACAAATAGGGTACTTTTAGCAATTCATGGTAATATCCTCCTATGAATCAATTGTTTACAGACTATGAAGTTATTAAAACTCGGTAAAATCTTTGCAGAAAATCAAGTCACAATCCTTAATAAAGAAAAATAATAATGATGATAGGGTGAAGGCATTTAACCCGTGAAATAAAAAATACTAGTCAATGTGTAATAGTCAAATAGACACAAAAGAAAACAATGAATTTAAGGTCTACTAATGAATATTTCACGGGTTTAATGACTTCACTCTAACAATTATCTATCATTTATATGATACTCGCGAGAGCTTTTAATTCATAAATTTCACACGCGCAACTTAAACTTTGCGGATGATCGAGTACTTTGTGAACACTTTTGCAATTTTGACATTTTTTCTATATTTTGTTTTTACCAACTGCACAACTTTTCTATTCAGGTATTTTTACGTTTATTTTCATTCAACATTTATTCTTTCATTTCTTGTCTTTATTCGTTTCTTCTTGACCATACCTAACATGTAGTCAGACTGCGTATTTTAAATAATTATTCTCAAGGTGTCACTTTATATTTTTAGTCAAAGATTCCTTTTATGCATTGCGCATGCGCATATAGCTATTATAAACTAATTACGATTTTGAGACGACAATATCACGAAATATTGACGGAAAATATATTCGGTATTGGGCGGAGTCGCGAATTTAAGCCGTCAATATTTCGTGGCATTCTCGTCTAGAAATCGTAATTAGTTTCTTATCGCGATTAACACACACAAAAAAAGGAAAAAACTGACCGATTTTCGTCGATTAAAAGCAAAATTCTCCTTACGAACGCACACTATGGCGCTATGGCGCAAGACAGGGCAGGAAAAAGAAAAACCCCCTACTTTTACGATTTTTTTATTTAACTGATTTTAATACTCCAAATTTTTAAGCGTTTCATTTGTGTCACTGCTGCACGAAACTTGTGACAAAATTTTGTCGAATTAGAGTAAATCTACTTATTACTATTCACAAAAATGTCAGTTTTTCTGCTGATCAAAGTATCACCTCTCCCAAAGTACACGGCTTCATATCTCAAACACGCATACAATAAATGTTGGTCGCATTTGATATTTTACTATTTGGCTCCAAAAGAACGTGTTTACAAAATATTGAGCTTAAATACGTAAAGCTGTCCTTATGGCGAAAGGCCAAAAACCGTTTTTCTGCCCTGTCATGGCGCAAACAACAAGCGTAAAAATTTGACGCTCAAGCTTTCCTTTTCGTCGCGCATTAGCCAATCAGAAACCTTAATTTTGAAACGACAATAGCACAAAATATTGTCGTCTCAAAAAAAAAAAAAAATTTTATTAACTGGCCAGGAGGTCCGGATAGAGAAAAACTGTGCCCGAACTCTTGAATATACGACAGAGGCAATATCTCAGTCCTTGATGAATAAATATTAAAGCCGCGTTCACTGTACAAGTATTCGGATATTTTTGAAAACGGGTTTTTTATCCTGTTCAAACAAATTATAGTGTTTATGAATTGTTTTCGCCCGTCTACACTTACTCCGAAAAGTTGCGCTTTGAAGGTCAATCCCCGCAAAGAAAAAAATCCACTCAGAAAAATCCGGATATGTGTGAACGGGACCTAGACCTCTATCACTGCGTGTAACGACCAATCACGGAACGGGCTTAATACATCGATTGAACCAATCATCATCAAATCAGTCATCATTACATTTTCGGAACGCTATATTTCTGCGTGGATTTTTTAAGATCCTTTCATAAAGATCCATAAATATACTTCATTAACCTTTTATGTGACAAGATTTTCGCGAAACATCATGTGAATATAAGTTTCTAAATTCATCAAAATTCGTCTAAAGAAGTCAATCGGTAATGAGAAGTGGTTCAATCAACTTTAGGTTCTTAGTTATATAAAGTTTATCAGTCTGATAACAGTTTTAAAGAAAACATTTCTCGAGTAAGCCTATTTTAGTTCATAACTTTTTGATATATACCCTCAACCAAAACATTTCACATACATTATGAACGCAGCCTTAGCAAGAATAAATACATATTTCAGTTGAATCGCTCTCAAATTTCTTACTTTCTACTTTCTCTCGCGTTAAAGTCTTGGTTTTAAGGCCTGACTGAGGATGATAAAACTTCCCGAGAAAGTGCGTCGATATCTGTTGTAGATTATTCGAAGGAAAATAACTCTTGTTTCTTATTTGGAGTGCTGGTTAAGCTTTCTTCGTCGCTTGTTGACGAGTTCCTGCAGCTTTTAAATCTGTCATTCTGTCTCCGAATCTTTCGATACACTGGTATGTTGTGCGGCGAATACAGCCACTCTACTCGTCTTTCATAAATTGTGGAATAATGTATTTCAAAAAGTTCGCCATCCTCTTGCAGTACCTCGGGAATTCGTCTTCCTAATCCAGGTGTGAACTCGGTGAACACATGGATGGCTTCGACCAGAGGCTTACAGCGATGGGGATTTTCAAAATTCCTTGCCTTGTTTTTCTTGTCATTCAGTGCTTTTGGGTGGGAAATCAAACCTTTTTGGGTCATGAAGGCGAGTATGCGACTCATGGCACACTTACTTTCGAAGCTGAGTCAGTATGACCTGCACTGCCTTGTGCAGCTTATTTTATAGATTTTATTTCGGATCGTTTTGCCGACTGTAGTTGGAAAACTACCGCTAATTACTCATCAGTCGGGTTGTCTTGAGCAAAATTAAGAACGGAAAATTTCCTAATCATTAACACCATCATTATCATTAGCGATTATTCCCTTTTCTAAACATTACATAGACTTCATCTCGATATGTGGGGTAAAAATCAAATACGGAATAAAGAAACAAATACGAATAGTTCCACCCATTTATATTAGAGAGTATGACAAATAATAATGTATGAGTATAGAAAAAACTTTATTTCACGGCCTTCCATCCTGAAGGATACAAACATTTTACTGAAATGAAGGTGTATCTGTCAAACTGTTTAAATTCAGTTAAAGTTAGGAAGTAAAAACTGAATATTCTTTCAAATCAAACTGATTTCTAACAGGGGTTTTTAACTTTTTTAGCTATGTGTTGAAAGTTCCTATACCTAAAGAAGGTATACAAGGTTTTATTTCTTGGAAGAGTGCTGGGTCAGCCATTATTAAAGATATAAATTTCAAATACTTGGTAATTGCTTGGCACATTGTAAATTTTTGTTTGTTTGCACGTTCTTCACTGAATCTCAAAATTCTTTTATAGGTTGTCAGTGATGAATGGGGAGTTTTTTGGTTTTTTTTACTTTTCAAAGACTGTATTTTGAATTCAGTATAGGATACCAGTTTGTAGGCTTGTTGGGGTTTGACGCTTGGTGGAATCAGTGGTACAAAGGACTTTCTAATTCTTTAACTGCGTGTAACGGATATTTCCCGTTCGAAGACATGGCGTGAATGTCTTGTTCATCGAAGGTGAAGATCTCTGGCTTACTATTTCGCCTTGGAGGGTTTATCCTGCTAGCAGAACCTGTGTAAAAACCACTGTCTAGATCAGACTGCTTTCTTGACGAACGATAAAATGGAAGGACAACAGGAGAGTAAAGCCATTYAACTCTACGTTCATAATTATTGGCATATTTAACTTCGAACAGCTCTCCATCTTGGCTTAACTCGGGAATTCTCCTCCCAAGTCCAGGCGTGTACTCGCTGTATACCTGAACCGCTTTGGGAGACACGAAACGATGTGGATTCTCAAAATTTCGATTTTTCTCTTTTTCGGTGCTTTTCTCCTTTCTCTTTTCTTCTTTTTGACTTGAAAATCTTTTAACGAGGGACCTTTTGATTCGATTCATCATGCAAGTGTTTATTTTTGCTCTAAAAGTAACATTAGACCTTGGTTGAGCTTTTAAACCTTCAACATTCGGTACATCAAAAAAAGGACTTTTACATAATGACGTCAATTGATTCGTTTTTTTTTTTCGCTCCATGGAAACAGGCAATTGAATCTTCTTGGCTTTGACAAAAATGGAGATTTACAGCTGTAAAATAATCTATGAATTAAGTATCTAAATTACTGCATTTTTTGGAAATCGTGATTGCGATTTTTAAATTTTTCGTTATGTGTGACGAGAAATAATCATTTTCCGTGGCTCGCGATTCTTGCATGTTCTAACGCTTAATAGTAATTCCCTAGAACCGTCATCGTCTATACTTAATTGTGTGTTTGATAACCGATTTGCGGTGCGGGAAAGGTTGATCTAACGGTGGAAATCTTTTGTCGGTGAATATCCAAATTAATTGAATCCATAAAAGATCTGTTACGATAGTAATATCCTAATTATATCACTTAGGGACTGTTCATTAATTATGCCTTGGGTAGGGGGGCTTTGAAAAAAAATCACACAAAGAAGGGGGTATGTCTAAAAGAGAAGAAGGAGGGGGGGGGGGTCAAAAAACATTTTTTTAGATAGAATTGGGACGGTTGCGAATTTTTTCAAGGTTTTTTCGATAATTCCTCCAGCCCATAATTAATGAACAGTCCCTCATTGGCAATCAGTAATCATGATAAAATATAGACTATATCAGATATCAGTGACTTACCATTTACCAGGTCTTTATCCTGGAAATTCCGATTGGAAAAAAAAAAGGTAAACGAAAACTCGCTTTTCCGATTGAGGTAGTTCACTTTTCCCGCTCTTTTCGGTTCTTTCGTTAGACGCGTGTACCATTTGTCGGAAGTCAAAGTTTTTCTTAGCATTAGTAAACGAATTTCCTACCACATGGATTGGTTTTAATGTTAGCCATAGAACGAGTAACCGATTTGAAGTGCGTGCAAGAATGATGTCACAGAAATAATCTTTTGCGCAAATCCCAAAATAACTGAAAGCTTGAAAAATCTCTTACGAATAGAGCCGGCAGGGAAAAAAGACAGAGAACGCATGAGTTTTACGTGGGAGATACGTAAATTCTTAAGGTTATTTTAAGATTCTTCGGCGGCAAATCATGGGTTTTTTTAAAAGCGTGTAAAATCACGAAGAGAAAAACACGATTACTATTTGCCTATAGTTAGTATTAATTTGCACACGTTATGTCATTTAATTTCTCATACTTAAACGCTTCTCTGTTTTGTTGTTGTTTTTTTTGTTTTGTTTTTCGTTTTGCTTTGAAACACCTTTCAGTTAAGTAGACCCTTTACTGAATGATACGGCGATGTTCACTTAATTCATTCAATCAAGCGAACTTTAGGATGCTTTATAGGATTGTAACGTCCTCACCCCTTGACCACTAACAAAGCGTCCACTTTCAGAGTAGCTAGATAGTTGAAATAATTTATGGTTCCAACTCAGTCAATAGCGAACCAATCACCGTTGCAGCAGTTTTCCCAGTGCAAGTAAAAATCTAGTCCCCAAACCACACAGTATGTGTTTTTGAGGCAATTTTCTTTTCTTTTTACAAACCATGAAACAATCAATAATAAATTTTCCGCGAACAGAGTTTGAAATTTTGAAATATTCTAGCTAATTTATTTGGCTTGTGGGACATAACAACGGTAACTATAGGAATCGGAAACATGAATCGATGCACATACATACATAAAAATGAGCCGCTCAATCCCGAAGTGAAAATCCATCAGCGTAGAGGTAGAGTTCCGAAGATTCATTTCTGCTTGCTCGAGGCTTGCATTTCTTAACAGCCTTGAAATTGTTCCGTAACATTCGAATAAAATCTAAACAAGAAAAACGAAGATAAGAAAAATAGATATTGAACAGGGGCGGTAAGGGGAGGGGGGCGGGGGGTCCGACGCACAGTTCATCACGTTCCTTGAAAAGTTAAACTGCACATGTGGCAGTATGTTACCAGGCTTACCTCAAGTCACGTGTCCTACATAGACCTCGCTTTCACAGATCGGAAATTGATATTTTAGCTCAAAAATAAAATTGCGAACATATCAAGTATTTTTCACGAAAAAAAAAAATTTGGTTCAAGTGTTACGACGAACATGCCCTTCACGATCTTTCAGGGGCGTATCGAGGACCTAGGAGCTGGGGGAGGGGAGGGGGGGCACTGACCCCTTTTGGCTTTTTTTCAAAAAAGTTGTTTAAAAAGTGCCCCACCTCTCGCTACGCTACTGAGATCTTTAATTACAGAAAATAAAAATTATTGATCAAATTTCACGCCAAACCCCCTTACGACCCTTGCCGCCTCGATCTGAATGAAGAATAAATAAGACGATAACTCTGACCAGTGCTCGTCATTTCTACTAAAGGGATATTTTACAGTTAAAAGAAAGAGAGAAAATTTGAGAATAATAGGATTAAAAGATGTACCATATATTGAAGTAAAACTATAGGAAAAACTGATTGGGTCGAGTTGGACTTGCACAATGCATTGCAAATGTCAAATCGGCGACTTTTTTCCTCGGAATGGCTAAATATAATTCATCTTTAAGGAGGGAGTAAAACCAGAGAAAAGTCCTCGAAGTACAGGAGAGAACCAACAAACAAATCTACCCAAATACGACATCTATTCGGTGGGATTCGATCCCGGGGCGCGTTGTGGGAAAGCGATATTTATTTTAGAAAGAAGAGAAGAGAAAAGCTGTGAACAAAATTGGGGCAAATGTCAGAAACTTCACGAACGCGCTTTTTTCTACTTCTAACTTGTTCATGGTACGATTACGATACACAGACAGCCATAGTTCCTTCTCTTTTTTAATGATCCCTTTGATAAAAACCGTTTCTCTTACCCTCCGTTCCTCGACCATCCCATAGCTTACATAAGAAGGTTCCTTTCTCAGCCAGTGTTTTAGTTGCAAAATGAAAGACGGTTTCTGTTAAGTCCTGTAATCAGAAATAAAATATAGGTTTACTATCCCTGTAAAAATCGTGTGTGCTCACACCTAGTTTCGACTATCTCATCGAGACTCGAAGAGGTGGTGGGAGCATCACACAAATCAATTAAAACAGGTCCCCATTTGTGCCCATTGTTTATATCTTATCCCTAAAATACGTTTGACAATTATCATCACTCTATAATCCCATATAAGCAACTATTGTGCAACTATTTTCAAATTCTCTTTCCTGTCCAAATTAAAGACTTAAATTTGGATCGTTTCCATTCGCATTCTTTCGAGGGAAAACTATGATTTATGGAATCAGTCTAGTATAGTTTGGGATAATATAATTAATCTGCAATAGGACTACATGTCTGTCCAATTTGGAAGTAATTAAATTAAAAAAATTCCTCTGACTGCAAAATTGGACTCGGCCTATCGGCCTCTTCCAATTTTGTCAGTCCTCTGAATTTTTTTCATTATTTCCAAACAGCAAGCACAACGCAGAAAAGTCGGGCTATACGCAGTAAAAAGTATAACATTGTGTGTAACATTGTATACCTACCAGAATTGCTTCATGATCAAGAGAGTGATTACCTGTGGAATTAGGAGCCATATCACTAGGAAATGTAAAAGGAAAAATTATTTTTTTTACATTCACCCATTCATGCATCTATCCTTTCATCCATCTTTCCATCCATCCCTCCATTTTTTCATCCATTCATCTATCCATTCTTTCCTTTCTTCCATCCTTCCTTCCATCCATCCATGCATCTATCCATCCCTCCATCCATCCCTCCATCCATGCATCTTTCCATACTTCTGCCATCTATTCATCTACCCACCCAACTCCCATATATACAGTCTTTCATCTCATTTATTAATCCCTTTCTCTTGTTATCCTTATTCCTTGGACCAAAACCCTATTCCTTCATCTCTATTCTGGTAGGTCCAAAGACCCCACCCCTGAGCCCTATAAAGACTGCATATACCACCCATGTGATCTCTTATTGCATGCAAGCACAAGTGATTGCACTGCTAACGCACTGCCTCTCACTACTGTGGTCATTGGCTCAGACACTGGACTATGCCATCATATTTTAGTAGAGCAGCTAGTTAGATCTTTCCTGTGCTTTGAAAGGATTTCTCAGAGTCCTCTGGTATTCCTCACTTTCTGAATTCCAATTTGATCATGGAATGAGGGTCACTAGCTTGTAAGCCTCTGGCTATAAGTGATACTCTCAAAGATAACTGTTTGAAAAAATAATCTTATAGTTAAAGACAGATACCTTAGGATCACATCAGCTCCAGTACTTGGAAGTAAAGAAAGTACTTTCTCTTGTGTTTCTTTACTTGTAAAATCATGACTGCTGAGTAATATTGCACCAGGGATTTCTTTTATGTCTGTAAGAAAATAAAACTAACTATTTCATTTATTTTTCTACTTGGTGTAGTTCAGAAAATTTCCATTAATCCTTTTATTGTTGTTTTATTTACTTCTGGTTTTTATTGGCATGTAATTTATTTGGTAGAGGATTGACATTGACCCTCTATCCCCCCCCCCCCCTCAGAAACAGAGAAATGATGTTTTGCCTGTAACAGTAGTCGATTACTGCTTTAATTTTCTGAAAGCCACCCCCCCTTCTCTGAAACCATGCTTCAGGCCTGCTAAGTTCCTAATTAAGACACTAATTTAGCAAAGGTCCTTCTTTCAAGATTTCCTAGATCCAATCCTGAAAATGATTAACAGTTCTGAGTAATCTTACCAAGTAGATCTAACCCAATAACCAATCCTTTGCTAGTAGCACTTGAACCTTGAAAAGATAATAAAAAACTATATTCAGTTAATTAAATTCAATCAACAGCTAGCAGATGTACCGGACCGGGTGTAATACAAGGTACAGAGGAAAATTAATATTAGAGTCGCAGCATAATGGATAGGAAGTAGGCCTGGAGAAATGTTGTTGGCACTTGTTTCTCCCTAAGTTCCTGAGTGTTCCAGAGTTCCAGAGTTTAATAAATGGGTCTTTTTAGAGGCTTAAATTCCCTTCATAAGGGATTTTTATTCTTACTTTTTGTAGATACTAATGGAAATATTGGCAACGATTAGTAAGTTGTTTCATTTTGTTGTTGTTTTATGTTCTTTTTAGAGATGCTACTGTTATTTTTATTGTTTGTTTTTCTTATTTTTTGTCGCTGATAGTATTGGTGATGATATTTCTAGTTTGTTAGAGTTTTTTATTATATCTTAAAGGCCCTAAGTGATTACTTTACATTAGCTACCTACATTACCTTTTCTAGTGCGCAGAACTTTTTTCACAGCAACTTGTGTCCAAGAACCTATAAATATTTTCAAAATTTGATCATTATCAATTTTTAAATTTTATTATTTTATAGAACTGTAATAATGAGGGGGGCATTCAAGTTTCACTTCTCGGTATTGCTTCTGTGATATATCATATTTTATTTTTTTCCAGTCAGGTTTCATGAAAATTGCGTGTTTTGATAATGGCTGCGCAGGCAGTATATCTTATCTCTGCCCACTGTCCAGTATCCTGATGAGGAATATTATATGTCATCCAAACATGCACATGCATGGGAAATTGGAGGTTAAACAACATAGCAAATTACAAATCATCAAGTCAGAGGTGGAAATAAATAGGAAAAAATAGTTATTTGCTGGTCTAAAGTTGATTCGGATTGGGGAAAACTGTGCCCTAGCTCAGAAGAACTGGCCTATGATCCTCAGCCCTTATATTCAAGGCCTCAGGCATAGTTATTCCCTATCTGGAATTCCTGGCCAGAAAATAACTCATATTATTATATAATTACCAATGAAATATCTATTTTTCTCTATTTCGAAAAATTGATATCTTCACATGTGAAAATAACATGTTATTTTCACGTGTGAAAATAACACCATTGCGATGGCTATTCAAAAATACACGAAAAGAATTGCCTGAAAAAGCCAAAACATACTTTCATTGATAATTATATAATAAACAGAATATTACATGGGCGTTTGGAGATACGAAATTTATCTTCTCGTGTTGAAAATCTCTCACTCGTTCGCTGCACTCACTTGTGAGAGATCTTTTCAACACTCGAAGATAAATTTCGTATCTCCGCGTGCCCATGTAATATCCTCTATTTTATTCTGTTATTTATTCAAATTTTCCTTTCACTTTCATTCCATGTGTCTGGATACCTACCTGGACTAGCTCCACAATCAACCTGAAAAACAAGACATAAATAATGATTATTTACATAAAAGGGAAGTCTTGTCTTTATCAAGAGAATCAGTAGCCAGAGATTGTGGTTAGAACTGCTCATTTTGCTAACTCAGCTGGATCTTGCAAAACATTTCCTTGATTTTAAAGGCAATAGTTAAGCAAGTTTTAGATTCTTAAGTCTTCCATTGACTTTATCACACCTTGAAGTGAGTATCACCCATTCTCCCTGAATTACTACTGGTCTATCATACTAATCTTCCTTCCCACCCCACCCACTTCAGTACTCTTCTAGGTTGCTTAATACAACAAATATTTGTGTATAAATTACTTACCACAACCTTTCCAGGTTGTAAAAAATGGAATTTATCATCTAATTCAATTAATTTATAAGCACTTCTACAGCGATAACCATCACGAGCTGCATATTTAACATATGGGTCCTAAAACAACACAAAAGCTCAAAGTAAGCTCTATAGATTTGATACTCATACAAAGACATAATCCAGCYAGTAACAATTAAACATTTAGAAACCAATCAGACAGTTGATACACATTTTATAACTTATTACATTTATATGTCGCTGTATCCATCTGGATGAACTTGGATTCTTCTGCAATTTATGGCAGGAAATATAAATATTCCTGTGTGAAAAAGAATACATGAGGTAAATAATAGGTTTTTTGTCATGTTGTGTCATTCCCTTGAGAATAATATTCTTCATTTGTGTTTCATTGACATCCATGTTCATATATCATCTCTAGGGTTACTGGCATATTGAGTACTTAGTAGTACTAAAGAGAATAAAATTAAATTAGGGGGGTTTAAAATCAATAATTTTGAACTTCATCAGGGTTGGGAGATCAATATATCAAAGTTTTCTTTAACAAATATACACATTTTTTACGATTATTGTAATTGTAAGACATCAAAAATTTCAATCATAAAGTGTACCTTGAAATAAAGAGATGTCTTATTTTGAAAGCAGGGTTAAAAMATTTTCGAAGCATGAAATATTTTTTGTTTAAAAAAAAGTTATTTTTCACTAAAAAATTTCATGGCAAATAAAAAATGACCGCTGTTTAGTTAATTGCGGGCACAATTTCCGTGCGCTGTCAATCAAGCGGTCTGAACCAATCAGAATGCTTATTTACCTGCTAAAGCCCACCCATCAGACCCGCAAAACTCAAATTGTGCTACAGTCACTTTTGGTGATTTTACAAACTTTATCCCACAAAAAATAGTATTTTACAAATTCTTTTTTACCATTCGAGGCTAGGATCTTGTTTATAGTCTTATGTAGTATGAGTATTGTGAATCCAACCGGTATTGAGTCATTTGGTGTGGAGATATTTAGTCTAGAAAAGTGTAGTTAGTGTCAAATTGCCCGGCATTATAGAGGAAGTCTTTTGAAATCGTAGCGGCATTGTGAGCCTCAGTCAAGCACACCACGTCTAACTACAGTGATCGCAACTTTTATGCTCTCAAAAATCATCTCTGGACCTTCCTACACCTTTAATATTAAGATCACAAGGTTAGAAAACATCTGTACTCTTGTGGTTGTCGGATTAACGAGTTGAGCTGAGTTCGCAGCTCAGTTTGGGAGACTTTTCGCGCACTGTTCACAGTACGAGTATTTCCTTGGCAAGTCAATGCCCCTACTAAAGAGAAAGCCGTTCACCCCCGAGAAACCGCCACCAGAGCTCAAGCCTAGCGATGAAGTCTTCGTTTGTCGACATACAAATGAGGTTTTCACAGATTATGAGTAAGTTTTGCAGAAAAACTATTTCATATCCGGTTTTCAGTCATTCATTTTTTGTGTTGGTTTTCCTTTCCCTGTACTACTTGCTGAACGTAACACCACGCCATTTATTCTCTTGTCGGATTAGGTCTTTCTTCAAGCGAACCATATTATGCAACAGCTTAGTCTGGAGCTGCCAGTTCAGTGGTAAAAGCAATCTTACTTACCATGAAGCCTTAGAATCAGAGCAAGAAATAATCAAGCAAGCAGAGAGTCTCTGTACTCCCCTTCAACTGGCAGCCCTTACTCTGGTACACCATATCCAACGTGGTCGACTTGCTAATTTATGCGATGAAGTTTTTTCCTACCTCAAAGATCGTTACCAAGAAGGCGAAGATGTCGAAGTTCAGCATTTAGGGAAAAAGTAGGTTATTATTTCTCCAAGTTTTGATTCTAATTTAAAGACAGGATAATTTTTTGGGGTAACAGGGTATTAAAAACCCGATGCCCGTAGAGTTTTGTCAACGTCTTGATTCCAGCAATGGGGCCAATAACATGGCGGGCATAGGCGCCAACAACAATTCTCCTTCACTTCCTTTCGCTTTTTATCTTCCTTTAGACCTCGCTCTCTAATAATTTTATCTAATTTCGCTAGAAAGAGGTCCCCTTTACTGTATCTACCTCTTTGGGAGTGGCCTAGGGGTATTTTACCCTCCTTTCTGAGTGTAAGCTTCCAAACCCTTATGAAGGGCTAAAATCTCTTTGTTATTTATTTACTCACAAGTGTCAGCCATCTTGCCATCAACTAATCTGAATAGCAATAATAGTGGGGTGGTGCATGATTCAACATTCTGCGGCATCTTATAAGCACGTTACCATGGGAACTGTCTAATGTGACCTTTTGTAACTTACTTTTCTTGTTTATTTTTGGCTTACTTGTAGATTTATTTTATTATTAATTTTTGATTTATTTATTACACATAGATTATTATAATTATTATCAATAACAATAATATCATGATAATAGCTGTTTATAAATGATAGAAAAAATTTTGATTTGGAAAAATATTAGACCAGAAATATTTCAGATTCACTTTTCTGCCAGAAATATTTCAGATTCACTTTTCCTGGTACTTTATAAATTTCCTGGTCTCTTTTGATTATTTTTTATTTTATTGCTTATTCCAGGAAATCGTTAGTAATAATAATAATGCTTTAATTTTCCAGGAGAAAGGGAAAGATTCAAAAAGTAATAGAGCCTGAGAAGCTGACAAATGGCTTGGAAAATCCATTGGGATCTCCAAAGTCCAGGAAATCTAGTACCAGCTCTACCAAAGATAAAAAGGTGGAAAAATCTACAGGAACACCATCCAAAATTAGAAAAACCAGTGCTACTGATAAAGAGACACCAGTGAAGTCCAGAAAAACCAGCGAAAGTAGCTGCAAGTCACCTGGCAAAGTTAAGTCTCCTTTGGAAGGTACTCCAGGTAAATCCAGGAAAAACAGCTCCAAAGAAAGTCTTGTGTCCCCCAAAAAACTAATTGACAAAGAAACATCAACACCCAAGTCAAAAAAGTCACAGAAAAATGTCTCTGAAAAATTAAAATCACCCAAGTCAAAAACTTCCCCTTCCGAACCACATGGAGATATAGTCATTGTTGAAGACGACGATGAGTTAAATGAAAAACAAAAGGACAAAAAAGGAGAATCTCCTGTGAAGTCCCCAAAGGGAAAAAGTATGAGTTTCTGGCCTGATCCAAAGACCTACAAATATGCTGTCCAACTTTACCCAGAAAAGAAACCCAAGGGTAAAGAAGACAAGAAAACTTGCAAGGAAGTTATAATTGTTGAATTTAACCAAGTCAGGTAATATCTCAAGGATGTTAACAATCGTACATGAAAAATGATTTAAATGAATTAAACAGTTTTGCCAACATCTGGAAGGGATATCAGGAATGCTTACCATTTAAACCAATCCATCTGGTTGGAAATTCATTCGCTAATAATTGTAAGAAAAGAGCGGGAAACTTTGACTTTCGTAAAATGGTATATGCGTCTACTGGAAGAACCAAAAAGAGTTGGAAAAGTTGATTATCTCAATTAGACAACTGAGTTTTACGGAACATTCCAATCGCAATGATGCATAGCATTTGTTTTCCAACCAGAATTTCCAGTTTTTCCTGGTAAATGGTAAACACTCCAGGTTTTCGTTCCAGTTCATGGAATGTTAACATAAAATAAAGGAGAGGACTGCAGCATTCAATCAGGAAAAAATCAATTTTTTCAAAGAAATTTWAAAAAATTATTTGTTCATTCTTATCTCAGAATTCTAAATCCCACTTTTTGACCAATCAGGTTTTTCAGAATTGTACAAACTCACAAACCTGATAAAGTACTTATTTCAGAAGCATGGTGGTTGTTTAAAAATTTTGGTATAGATTATCATACTTGTAATACTTGAAATTTATTATGATTATTTTTCATCATTAGTCGCATAAGAGGCTCCTTTTCCAGAGATAAACTGAAAAACTTTCTGAAGTTATCCTGTGTGAGAAGTACTCAACAAACTGATGATGGCTTCTACTATGTCAAGGTAAGTACTATCTTTTAACACAAGAATCATATACAAGGGAAGGAAAGATACTTTTTTGGAAAAGGTAGCATGCAACAAGATGCATTGATCATTTTGGCACAGTTGCAGGCTACTTAACAAAAACCATCAGAAACAAACAAGCAAAATTCAAATTTAATCTGTTGGTTAGCCATGCCCTGACTTTGATCAGCCCAGAGGTTGTTTCAGGTTTCAATCTGTGAGTTAGCCATGCCCTGACTTTGATCAGCCCAGAGGTTGTTTCAGGGTTCAATCTGTGAGTTATCCATGCCCTGACTTTGATCAGCCCAGAAGGTTACTATTGTATGTGACTATTAGAGTCAACAGTTTCTATCTCAGTGAATTACATTTACCCTTCTTTATAACCAGGTTCATATGTATAAGCAGTAGGTTTATGTTTTGGCTGCTAAATGTGTTTATTGGTTATAATAATTATTATGTAATGCTTTTCACAGGTTGAATATAGAAAGAAGTTTGATCTTGGTGAACCCATGTTTGAGATACCCTTACAGTTGAGTTCTCCTCCCAAGGGGAAGTCAAGAAAAAGAAAAAAGTCTACAGTTGAAGATGACAAAGAATCTAGTTCTGTTAAGAAGAAAAAGCTTGGAGGAGAAGATGGTAAAGAAAAAGCTAAGAAACGAAAGAGTAAAGGAGATGGAAAAGACAACAAGAAAACCGATACAACGCAGGTCAAGAAATTGACACCAGAAGAGAAGCTGAAAATTATAGAAGAAGAACGTGAAAAAAGAAGGATGATGATTGAGGAAGACAAAGAGAAAAGAAGACTTCAAAGAGAACAGGAGAGATTGGAAATGAAAACCAAAAGAGAAGAAGTGAGAGCACAGAAAAAGATGGAACGAGATCAGGTATTGAATGAAATGAGATACCAAGCACTCTCTAAGTTTAAAAAAATGAAATATTTATCCATCATATGGAGAAATCCATATAATCAGTACAAGTTTAACAAAGGTTTSTGAAGCAACAACTAATGACCAGCAACTTTTCTTTTATAAGCTAAGACTAAGCAATAGGAATGGAATGTTTAGCTTGAATGAGAACCTGTCAGTGGAGAGGAATACAGCTGACACTAATAGTGGCTACAAAGTTGACATATGATAAAAAATTAAATTTGAAGAACTTTGGTTACAATTTTTTTCCTCAAAATGTTATTCTTCTTATAGGAAAGAGAGAAATTGAGAGAACAGAAGAGACAGGAAGCCTTGTGGCTGAAAGAATGGAGCAAGCCAAGAGAAGACCTTGAACTTGATGACCTTAAGGTGAGGGAAAATATGATTGGATCTCATCTCTTAGCCTAATCATACACACACACACACACACACAC